CAGGATATAGGATTCTTCTAACTGCTAGTGGGGGTGTAACTGATACAAACAGAAAGCAATTTGACAATATATAACAAATCTTTAATATGTTTATAAATCTTGATCTGCCCATATGGCTACAAACTAGGGAAATATTCCAAAATTTAGAGAAAGCTTTGGGTACCAGGTACTCTTCCCAGGGTTATAATATCGAATCTTTATGTATGGCCTAATGTACAATAAAGAAATTATACATCTATTCAGTGGACAGTTATATAGTCATTAAAAATGGCAGCCAACAAGTTTTGACTACCTTGGGGGGAAGGCTTATATTCCAATGTTAAGTAGAAAAAATAGAATACAAAATTATGTAAAATGAATATTTCCAACCACATAAACAAATGCATGGAAGGAAAGATATCAAAACAGTAAAAGCAGTTATACTTGTTTGTAGTTTATTGTGTTTTCCAGATTTTCTGGAAGGATTGAATACTACCAGGAAAAAAAAAAAGATGCTTTGTAAATTAAATGTTCCTTCTGTCTGTTACAAGAAACAGTTTTCCAAGCACTGACATAAGTTTATTTTTATTTTTGCCCTTTAAAAAAAATTAAGAAACAGAGAGGAAAGAGAAAGTTGAAGAAACGGAAGGGGACAGTGGGAGCAGCTCTCCCATCCTGATTAATCTCTGCCATGAGTTGGACACTGTCGCCTTTGTAGAGCCAGGGAAAGGGCCAGGTCCAAGGTCCCGTGAGGGCAGAGCCAGTCCGCGGGCTCCCGCGGCTCCTCACCATCATGCCTGAGTTAACACAGACAGGACCCCAACAGAAAGGCAGGAAAGGGCAAAAGCAGGCGAGCACAGAATGTTAGTGGTAATTTATATAATACTTCATAAATGGTCGGTTTTAGTGGGTAGGATTCTGGATGGCTTTTCCCCCCTACTCTCCTTTCTAGATATTCTCTAAGGCAATATCAACTTTTTATTTTTATTTGTGTGCAAGAAGAAAACTGCAACTGTTTGAATTCATTGAACTGTGAGCAGCAAGAGAGAGAAAACAGGTTCTACTCTCCCAGCCTCCTTCTAACAGTAAAAAGCTGGGGAGTGCAGGGAGGGCGAGGAGGTTGGGGTGAGTGTGCCTGCGTGCGTGCGTGCGTGCGTGCGTGTGTGTGCATGTGTGTGCGTGTGTGTGTGTGTGTGTGGCTGTGGGAGGAGCAGCAGGACCTATGGAACTTTCTGCAGGGGTCAGCCTTTGCACCTCAGGGAGTAGGCCCACCCTGCAGTTTCGCCACATCATCCACAACAGTCACACCACACACGTGCGCTCTGCGAGGCACACTCACAGCATGTTGTATACCATTGCCATTTTTCCTGCAGTCAGCACTCTCTGTCACAAAGCAGGAGGAAATACATTTGCTGGGGATGAGGCAGCACCTATAGGTGAGCGAGACTCATCAGAGCTGCTTTTGTTTTAGTGGGACCCAGCCACGCAGGCTGTGGTTTTGGGGAAATCCTTTCCAATCCCCGACTTGGCTGGCAGGTCCAATGCTGGAGGGCAGCACGTCTCAGACAGCCCCGCCTCACCTCGGCAGGCAAGCGGGGCGCTCCTCGGCAGGCCCAGCATGGCTCCCTCCCAGGAGAGAGGAATACAGAAGCTTCTAGTTCTGCAACTCCACCACAATGAAAGACAAATGGGAACCCATTCTTGCACAGAATTTGCCCACAATCTTCCTACCTCCCGTGCTTTTATTTTTCCAGGTCCCTTGTCAATCTGCATTCATAGGTATAACCAAGACTGTGGGAAGTCACCTGCGTCCTTTTGGACAGCCATTTCCAGAAAAGGACTGGGATTTAGAAATGAGTGAGTGGTAAGGAGGCAGCTGAGCTGAGTTTGGTGGCTGGAGTGGCTAGCTAGGTCAACGGGATTTGTGTGTTTGAGGTGGAGTGGGAGGTGACGCAAGCAGGTATCTTTAGAGCTGGCAGAGAAGAGAGAAGGGTAGAGACCCTAGGCCGCCCGAAGGGGCCAGGCTCTGGAGCAGTCTGTCTTGCGCGTGCAGAACCTCTTTGGAGGCACTGCCAGAGCCAGTGCCAGACTTTGAGGCTCACAACCAACCTGGGAGGGAGAGACATGTCTCGCCATTTTCTCCTGAGATATTCCAAGAGACGACCCATTTGCCTAAGGTCACATACCCAGGACCTGGCTCTTGGATTGAGATTGGGGGCCCCTGGTCAAGGGTTCTTTCTGTCCCAGAGAGCACTGTGTCCTCCAGCAAAGATAAGCGGCACTTATTCCACCCAAAACAGAAGGAAACAAAAATGGAGGAGACCGAAGACACAGGAAGACTGAGTCACTGGAGCAGAAGTAAGGTGAGGAGGGGTGAAGAGGGGAGATGAGATCCGTCCAGGATCACTGAGGGGCAGCGGGGTGGAGACCAGAGTGAGATTACATGAATTCATGATAGAGCAAGTCACCAAGGGGGGTAGTCAAGGGGTCACCGTTACCTACAGCTCTTAGGTGACTTTTGGCTCTACATGGGGGTGGTGGGGCCGGGGTGGGCGGACTCGCTGCTCATCAGTTAATAAAATCCATGGTGGCATTTTCCTAATGAGACTTCACCCAAGGCATTGGGTAGGGCGGGGAGGGCGGGGGCGGGGGGGCGAGGTACACAGATCGAGGAGGCCCCAGCTTGCATCTTGCACTGTTCTACCTAACCATGTTACCTCAGACAATGTACTGAGAAAATAAGAACGAAATATAAGAAGTCTGTGATTCTATGCCTTTCCAATCTCCCTATCCACATCTTTATTCATTACGCTACCGACTTCTGGGGAAATAATTATTACAAGTATCACACGGGCCTTTTCATTTCATGGAAGTCAAGAAAATACTAAAATTCAGGCTGATGAGCCCCCCTCCATTGGAGAGCGGGCTCCCTCTCCCACCTCCAACGGCAAGACCGCGCTCTAAGCGAGACACAGTAATGATCTCCCAGCGGGCACCCGTGTGACTTTTCTTGCTGCAGGCAATTGCCCAGAGGATTCCCTCTATAATCTTTCTATGAGTCATTCAGGGGTAAGTATCATCTCTGTTTGCCTCTGGAGGGGAGAAAAAAAACGTATTATAAAAGAGAAATAAAACTCTGCATGTATCTGAAAATAGCACCCAGATATGTTGGATTCTCAGTTCCCTTTTCTGTACCACCCAGCTCCCCCTGGACTTGCTTCATGCAGGGAGGCAGACTGGGACCCCGACGCTCACATATGAAGCTGACTGAGACTAAGCCCCGCAAAGTGGCCCTGCCGAACTACAGTTCCTAATTCTCACCCAGTCTGATGGGCCTTTTCATCCTAACTCCTTCCCCACTGCAGGTGTCCCTGCAGTCACATGCTTTTGTCAAGTGACCTGCAGCTTCAGGCTGCACACTCTGCAGAAAAGAAGAGGGGGAAAAACAAAGAAAATACAGCTCTCTCCTGGGAGCCTTACAATCTCCTAGCTTATGAAACAGCAGCCTCGTTACCTTCCACTAGAGTGGCCACGACCAGCAGAAGAGGCTCGGAGGTCAACCTCACCTCCCACCCTACTGCCCCCTCAGATCCATCCAAGAGAAACCATACTTGCTGAGGGGACTTCCTGATGTCTTGACCTGGTTCAGAAATGCAGATGTATTACCAACTGGGTAGAGAAGGATACCAGTTAAAAGGTGTATGTTCTCTCTCTCCCTCTCTCTCTCTCCAGTGAGGCCCACTGATTGCTGAGCCTATGCACCAAGCTCTCAGCTCTTTCTGCCTCCAACAAAGTTTGTGACTCATAGTCTGTTTGCAGAGTGAGGCAGCTCAGCAGCCTCAGTGATGGGTTAAATCGGGAATGCACTCTTCTCCCAACACTCACCCCTCAGGTGCGCCCGGAGCCCCTACCTGGCAGTGGAGATGGGAGGTGAGAACTACTCCAGTTCTGGCCTGAGAAGACCTGTCAGAATCTGGGCTCTGATGGTTTTAGTCCATCTGGATCCTCTCCTGCCCCTGCCCCCCACCACTGCCTTCTGTATACCTCTCTCTCTCTCTCTCTCTCTCTCTCTCTCTCACACACACACACACACACACACACACACACACACACACACGGCAGTTCAGAGCGTCTGATGCTCTGTAATGCAGTTGATTTCTAGTGCTCTGGATCTCCAGTGCTCCGCACTTTAGAGCTGCAATGTGGGACCCAAACTGCTTTTTTTTTTTCTTTTTCTTTACCCACACTGCCTCCAAAACCAGAGGAATTCTTGGCCAATGTTAAAGAAGGCCAGTGCATCGTGAGGGTCTGGCTAACTGTTGCACATCAGTTGAGGGGATGGTGGTGGAAGAAGGCAAGAGAGGTCAGGGGAAAGCCAAAAGGTGGCTACCCGGAGCTGCGCTGCGCCCTCACCAACGTCTCCCTCCTCTGTCACTGCGGAGGGCCAATCTGGAAGTTAGGGAACCTGGGTCCCACGAGCGGCAGGGACAGGCAGAAGGCACATCCATCCAGGGGGCGACGAGACGAGGCTCCCAGGACCGGCTGGCTCCCCAACCCTCTGCGCCGCCTCCCACCCACATCCTCGCAACCGGGCAGAAGGCGAGCAGCGAGCGTTCCCCCTGCAATCCGAGACCGGCTTCCCGCAGAAAACTCCGCAGCACCACCCGCTTTTGTTAATTCTGCAAATACTGTCACACATGAGCACCTCTCAGCCGCTCAGCTCCAAGGGAAACCCGCTTTCCCCAGAGCCCAGCGCTCCGGCTCACCCAAGCCCCCGCCCCACGACGGACCAACGCCCACCGCCCCAGTGCCTGCAAACCACCGGCTCGGAGGACTCCCAGGACCCCAGGGTCCCGGCCCTGAGCATCTTTGTCCTCTCAGCACAGACGCGCGCGCACAGAGCGACAGAAAGAGCCCGGCCAGGCTCCGAGCCCGCGCCCCGTGGCCTCCCCGGGGCCCCGCGGGGGGACAATGGTCCGCGTCCTGCAAGTTTGCGAGGCGAGAGGCAGAGCCCTCCTTACCGTACATCTCCGCGGTGCGAGCGCCTCCCGCGAGGCCGCGTCGCCGCGTCGCCTGCAGCCAGCCCCCGGCGGCGCCTGCCTTTCATTCACACCCGGCGGCGGATGGCGGCGGCCGGCGGAGGCCGGAGGCGGGAGGGCCGAAGCCAGGAGCCGCGCGCCCAGTCCACTACCAGGCTGAGCGCCGCCGGCCTCCGCTCTGGCTTCTGGGCTGGGCGGTGCCGAGAGGGGCGGGGCTATGCTAATGAGACGTCCCCCCCCTGCGGCTCGGCCACTGCCAGGCCGCCGACCCTCTCCCGGCCCCGCCCCGCCCCAGGCAAATTCCCGCCCCCAGCCGGCCTCCCACAAACCCAAATCCCCAGGTACGGGGCGGCGGAGTTTCTAGCTGCAGCGGTTTCTTGCGGGAGTCGCCCACCCGAACTCTCTGCTCCTGTTGGGATGCTCAGGCCTTCACCCCGTTGACCCGAGGGCCCCAGGGGCGCTGGATGCTGTAGGTCTATTCCGCCCCTGGATTTCTCCACTATTCGTAGGTGAGCCAGGGGTGATAGGAAGACGAAGTGGGAAATAACCCTGATCCCCTTTTCCCCACCCCGCTCCCTTAGCCGAGCCCCGTTCTCTAATTAAGCCTTCAACTGTGCCCCTCCCAGCCTCTCTGACCAGGTGATTGCTAACAAACAGCGTTCTTCCTGGGCCAGGAACGCAGGAAATGCACCCTACCCCACCCCTCAGGTGCTGCAGGGGGTCAGCTTGCTTTTTCTCTCACCAGATATTTACGTGTCCAGAACTCTCTCCACCTGTGCCCCAGGGCAGGCTGCTCCTTCTTCCTGACCATGTGAGAAACAAGTCCAAAGGGACAGAAGGCTCACGGGCACACTCTGAAGACATCTCCCAGCCCAGCTGGCGCCTCCCTGAGGCTTCTCACCCAGCCTCCTCTACGTTTTACACAGTCACCTTTCCATATCCACTCCTCGGTTTCTCCTCTCGCCCCACCGTTGAGGTTTCTACAAGAAGTTGAGGAGGGGAGATGTAAATATCTCCGTTTTAAAGAAGAGGAAACAGGCCGTGAGAGTTTGGTTTGTGCTCTTTCTTCTAGGTACACCAAGCTGTGTGTCTGTAGGCCAGTCATCTTCCCTCTGTGACCTCAGTTTCCTGCAGGACTGTTGGGAAATTGATATAAAACTTACATGAGAGTACACAGTGGGCATTCCCATATGTGTTGTTTTCCCTTCCTCACCCAAGGGAAGGAGAGAGCCAGGAGGAGAGTCCAGATTGCTGGATTCTTGGAAAAGTGGTCTCTCTGTTATACCCCAAACCCATGTTTCGTGTTTCTCTCTCTCCTCACCCTCCCTTCCTACCTCCTCATTGTTCCCAGGTTTTGTTTCTGTTCTCTTACCTCTTTCCCTCTCTTAGCAGCAGGTGGGCATCCTGGACCTCCATCTGGGAAACCCTGGGAAGGTTTCTGGAGCTCACATTTAGTCTAGGCCCTCAGACAACTCACAAAGAAGCTCTGTCTCTACTCTCCAGTCCTAGACCAGGTCAGGTGGCTTTGTGATCTGCTGACAGTCACATCTGAACCCGGCAGAAAGGGAAATTTGGAGACTAGTGTGGTCTGGACATCGAAGATACTCCCACCCCAAACCTGTTCAACATAAAGTATACTCATCATTCACTGGTGTCTTCAGCACAGTGGGAAATGCAGTGTCTGTCTTCAGGAGTGAAATGTCTGGCAGGGAGTTCAAGACAAATACTGATTTAAAAAAACATGACAAAGAATATAGTAAACTGCTCATGAGAGGCACAGACCTCTACTTAGACACTACTATGACTGGTAGGTTAATTCATTCTTTTAATGAAATATTTAGTGATCGCTCCTGATTATGTGCTAGATGCTGTGAAAGATACTCAGGAGACATGCAGAAATGATATAAAATCTAGTAAGTTCTACAGTGGAGGCTCATAGAAGGAGCAAGGTAGAGTTTCATGAAAAGAAATTCAAGATGGGCTTTGGAGAATGGGCAGGATTTCTCGATGAGGAGATATAATGTAAATATTGTCATTCGGGCCAGAGGGACTACAATTTGCAAAGGCTGGTGTGGTAGAGGGGAGAGAGTGGGTGAGGCGCAACCTAGACTCTGCCTGCCTGGAGCGGAGTCAAGGATGGGGAGCAGAGGCAGAAAGGGAGGCTGGAAAGTCACCTAGGGCCGTGCTGGGAGGGCCTGGGGTGCCCAACCCAAAGGCCTTCAAGTTCAGTCTAGTGTTGCCAGATTTAGCAACTAAAAATACAGGATGTCCTTGATGGGGGGTGGGCGGGGGGAATGGAGAAAGGTGGAGGAGGGTATAGGGGGATAAATGACGATGAGAGGAGATTAGACTTGGGGTGGTAAACACACCACGCAGCATTCAGAGGACGTGCTGTGGAATTGGGTACCTGAAACCTGTATAATTTTGTTAACCAGTGTCTCCCCAATAAATTCAATAAAAAGGGGAAAAAATAAAATAAAGGATGCCCAATTAGATTTAAATTAGATTTTTTTAAAAAAATTGTTTTGATATATGTTATGCAATAGTTGGGACATCATTATACTAAAAAAGTTTTGTTGTTTATCTGAAATTCGGATTCAGCCTAGGTTTCACCTGGCAATTTTGCTAGCGCCATCCTTCAAAGGATCCTGGGTCTTCATGAGTGACCCAGGCCAGAAGGAGCCCTCCTCCCTGCCCCCAGCCTGCGTTCCCAATAGATCCCACTGGTATGTGGCTCCCAAAGGCACAGGAATGGGGTCACTCTGGCTGGCCTGCAACATTTGGCATGGGCCTTTGCCAGATGGCTGAGGTTCCTCTGGACTCTATGTGTCCAGTGGTGGAGAACTCAGCTCATACCCAGCCTCTCTGAGGTGTAGCCAAGATGTTTAGGTAACGTTTGAGCAGGAAATGGTGCTGCTGTAGAAGTCTACGGGACGGGTGCTCCTCCCATATGAAGAGGCTGAGAGTTGGGGGAGTATAATCTTCTCACTCACAATTTAAAACAAAAGAGCAGAACCCAAAGGTCCCAGTACCCAGAAGAGTGTCACCAAGAAAAGACACCAAGCAAGTAATCAGTTATTTAGGTAAACCATGGAAAGAAAAGAAGGTCAGAATTGGGATCCCTGTCTTAAATAGCTTCTTGCTTATCTGCAGAAACTCAAAATATAGTGATGGGTATGACAGGAAGCAAAGATGAAAAGAAATAACACTTACCACGTGCACAGTATGCCACGGGTTCTGTGCCAGGCATGCGACACAGATTGTCTTATGCAATACCTCAGTAACCTTGCAAGGTCAGTACTATTTTCTCATTTTACAGCTGGGAAACCGAGGCCCAGAGAGGTGAGACCACTTTCTGGGAAGCAGTCGAGCAGGAATTCAAGCCCAGGACACTCTACCAAGGCCCATTTTCTTCCCACCACAGCATGGTGCCCTGCAGCCCACAGCGACACCCACGTAACAACCAGACTTTCAGTGGAGTTCTCCCTAACAGTCTAATGTCCCAGGCCCCCTCCCTCCCTTTAACTGCATTTGCTCTCCTTCCCCGTCTGTCCTTCGCTCCCCCTTACCTGAGTTTGGGGGGTACAGATTAAAGAGGTTCTCAGGCCATCCAGACCAAAGCAAGTGCTCTAATTTCCACCCCCTCCTAGACCATCAGCAGTGGACACCGCATGGCATTGGCCGAATCCAGAGCCCAGGGCCCTCCTGGGACTGGTGGGTAAGGCTGGGGGAAAGAAGCCTTAGAAAAGGTTCTATTCTTCGGCCAAAGTACACCTAGATAACACAGTCCCCATAAACAAGGTCTCCTGCTGCGACAGCTCAAACAATCCCATCTGCCATGAATATGCACCACAATTTCCAGTTTTGATATGAACCAGAGGCTGAATTTCCCTGCATTACAAAGAAAGAGAGGCTTAGAAGTGGGAGGCCACCTATAACCATCACATGAAACCCAGGACCCCCACTTGCATCCCAGGCTCCAGTATCCGGGGAACAGCACCAGACCTGTCCTTTAGCCCAGGAGTCTGGCTTTCTGATGCGCCAGCCTCTCACAGCCCCACCAGCTGCACCATGTCTGCGCAAAAGCCTCTGATCTCCCTGCCAGCCACACAACTACGCAGCTCTTGCTCCGGGCACCAGCCTTGAGCAGCCAACAGCTTTAAAGGGCCTTCCAGAGGGCACAAGGAGGGGAGAAGATGACAGCCCCAGGGGGTGCAGCTTCAGAGAAAAATAAATCATGAGACCTAGGGAAGGGCCCAGGGAGAACCAGAGGGAAGAATGTGCCAAAGATTGCCTGGTAGCTGATTAGCTGTGAAGCCTGAAATAGAACTCAGGATTCCTGACTCCAGGCCGGGTGACTTGAACTCCTGGCACCTCTCCCTTAAAGCAGGTATCTTGACCTACTTCTCAGGAGCCTCAGGGAAAGAACAGCCTATAAAAACAATACTCAAGTATAGGAGCAGGTGGGTAAGCAAGGACTGAAGAACGCATCTTCACGACACAGGAAACAGCTCATAGCCAGGTCAGTAGGACGTGCTCTTGGCACGGTTCCTGGGAGCTCCCGTGGGTGCAGGAGGGACGCTGTGGGGACAGAACTGCCATGAGATCAGGGTGTGAGCATCCGGAGTGGAGAAGGCTGCCACAGACAGATTTTACCAGAGAGGGAGTGATGTTGGAGATATTGATTATTGACCCACTGAGGTTAAAAAGTACTGAGCAAATTCTCCCAGACACTTTCCTCCTCACCACCTTTGGTTTATCGCGTGCTCACCCCCCAGAGCAGGACCGGGCCCCCTCCATTATCTATGGCTCCCTGTGGCTCCAGGAGAAGAGGCTCGTTTTCCACATGAAGCTCAAATCCATGGTAAAATCTCAGGCATCGTTATGCCCATAGTCCTCACTCTACCACCTTTTCCCTCTCTCCCGGCTCCTAGCTGTCAGGAGGCGCCTTTTCCCCTCCCAATACCTCCCATCTTCAGCCTAAGTGATGCCTGTCCCCACTGAGAGACCCACACTCTGAAGGACCTGAAGCCCATGGCATCGACTTTGCATCTGTTGATAGGCATGACTTGAAGGAGAAAAGAAGACATGGGGAGAAGACATGGGAAGTGAATAGCTGGCCAGATAGACAGTCTCAGAAGGTCAGACCTGGCTCTCCAGGCCGTGGCTAAGGGGGC